TTGTTAGGAGTGACTGCAGTCCTAGTGGAGATGAAATCCCCGCAGTGGATATCCTCAACTGTGTTTTATGGCATTACCATCATGCTAAACAGGATAGAGTTAGAATCCAGCAGCTCAAGTCTGGATGTCAATGAGAAGTAACGGGCCATCAGCAGCTGTAGCAGCAGAATTGCATTGCACCACAACCTGGAACCTCATATCCCTTACTCTACCACTACCATCAACACAAGCAGGTCAGGCAACAGCTGGGGAGCGAGAACAAGGGTTAAAGTTTCAGGTTCATTACTTTTCACCAGAACTAAAGGCATTCCTTTAGAAATATATTTACCATCAAGTAAGGAGATCAACCCTGGGTTCAATGTGAGGTGCAGGAAGTATGCCAGAGCAGCATCAGGTATACATAAAAATGAAATCTCAACCTGGTGAGATAAAAAGAGGGCTAATTGCATGCTAAAATAAGTTTCTGCAGACAGAACTAAATAATCTCGTAATCAATGGGATCAGATCAAGTTTTGCAGTTCTGCCACATTCAGTCATGAACCGTGCTGGACAATTCAATCTCTAGCCTGAGGAGAAAGGTCCATGAACAGCCCCATCCTCAATGCACTGTGAGCCCAGCTTCAGCACAAAATACAAGGCTGAAACATTTTCATCTATCTTCAGCCAGAAATGCTAAATGGAAGATCCATCTCAGCTTCCTGCTGAGGTCCCAAATATTATAGATGCCAGTCTGCAGACAACTGATTCATACCATTTGGGAGTCCCTGACAACATGTCCATCCTGGCATTCTCCACTGTCAGAATGAGGCCAAAGGAAACTGGAGGAACAACACCTGATATTTTGCCTTGGGAGCTTACAGCCCAATGGCCTCAACATTGGCTTTACCTGCTTCAAAGTCCCTCCATCCCCAGCCTTATCCCATGTCCAGGCCTCCCCCTCCTCCTCACCTCCTTGACCCGACAGAACCTGTCCATCTTCCTAATTACCTATTTGCTGCACCCTTCCCACTGACCAATCACAATAACCCCCTACCTGCATCCACCTATCACAATCTCTCCTACCCTTCCCCCAGTCCCCAGCCCCTACCTGTATTTATTTCTGGCCTCCTCTCCCCCTCCCCAGTCCTGACAAAGGATTTCAGCCTGAAACATTGACTTTCCTGCTTCTCTGATGCTGTCTGACCTGCTCTGCTTTTCCAGCCTCACACTTCTAGACTTTACCCCCAGTCAATCTGTTCCACTATAGCCACAACACTGTACCTCACCCATGAAATAGAAATTGACCTCATTCCATTTTGTCCAAAATCAAATCAATCTTTGTACCCACCTCAAACATCTCCTCTCAATTACCAGCAAAGTGTTGGAAAGTGTGACATACCCAAGATTAAATTTTAGTTAGCCAGAGTCCAGGCCTTTAGTTTTTTTTAAGTCAGTTTTCTTTCTACATGAACTCCACAAACTCCAACACAGCTCACTTGTTCCCCAAATGTCCAATTAAGAGGTCACCTAATTATCCTTTAGTAAACATAAAACCATCACTTATTCCCTAGTTTGATTTGATCTCCTGCATTCTTGCCAAACGTTACGAGATAATAACAGAATGTATTGTCACCAGTGCTATCAAGTGGCATTTACTTACCAATAACCTGTTTGATGCTGCCAGAATTGCTCAGCTTGTGACTTCATTACAACTGTGGTACAGACTTGACAAAGGAACCAAATGTGAGCTGGAAGTGACTGGTCTTGACATCAAGGCAGCATTTGACTGAAAGTGGCATCAAGGAACCCTAACAGAACTGAATTCAATGGGAATGAAGTGGAAACTTCTCTGCTGGTTGGAGTCATACCTGGCACAAAGGAAGTTGTTTGTCATTAGGGGTTAATTATCTCAGCTCCATGACATTGATATAGGAGTTCCTCAGGGTAACGAGTTTCTTCCAATTATTTTGAGTTGTTTCCTCAATAAACTTCCCTCCAAAATATGGTTAGAAGTGGAAATGTTCACTGATGATTACAGAGTTTTGTCTCCCTCACAACACCTTAGTTAGATATGCACAGAATCTGTGTGAAAGAGATACACAGCAAGAGTTCAACAATGTTCAGGCTTGGGCTAATGCTAGTGGTGCTGCTGTGGTTTATCCTGTCAGGAAATCTGCTGCCATGGCATGCCACATTCATCCTTCTTGTGCTATCCTCACATAGACACTGTATCTCATGTACAACTGTTCTGCGATATTGGTCATCCAGTGCCACGGTTGATTCCTGTTTCTGCTGCCCCATCCCAACTTTGCTCTCCAGAAGAGATCTCACTTCTTTGATCAAATGGTCAGAGTTTCCATTTCTTTTCACTTTTATTTGCGTTCTTCTTGCCCTTACAATGAACAACCTCTTCTGATGATCTGGTCGTGTAATTTTAAGCATACATCTTTGAATTCACATTTGAAAGTCCTCTATTTTCTTCCACACATCTTTATTCACGGTCCAGGTTTCTAAGGTGTACAGGAAAGTGGTTAGAATTTTTTTTTCTTTATTCATTCATGGGATGAGGGCGTCGCTGGCCAGGCAGCATTTATTGCCCATCCCTAATTGCCCAGAGGGCAGTTCAGAATCAACCACATTGCTGTGGATCTGGAGTCACATGTAGGCCAGACCAGGTAAGGATGGCAGTTTCCTTCCCTAAAGTTAGTGAACCAGATAGGTTTTTCCTGATAATCGACAATGGATTCATGGTCATCATTAGACTCTTAATTCCGGATATTTATTGAATTCAAATTTCATCATCTGCCATGGCGGGATTCACACCCAGGTCCCCAGAACATTATCTGGGTCTCTGGATTAACAGTACAGCGATAATACCACTAGGCCATTGCCTTCCCTACATGTTATGTAGCATGTTATGAGTTTTTTCTTCATGAGCATCTCGCATTTTCCTGTCGATAAATCCTTCATTGTAGAATTCCATGTGGCTACCTCTACTCTTCTTCAAAAATCTGGTCCACATCTGCCATCTTCAGTTATCATTTAACTTAAATAGACAAACTTATTAACTTATTCTATGTGCATTGCACAGGCTGCACCTGAACTGGAATGGTGGTGGGATGCAAGTGCAGTTGGTATGTGTTTAAACTTGGTGTGGGTATGGGATAGAAATTAGAGATACAGTAATGGGTGATTCATAGACAAGTGCTGAAGAACAACCAAATCAATCCAGAAACAAGTGCAAATATAGTGAAGTTAAAGGCACAACAAAGCATGGCAAGGCTGGATGGCATTCATTTTAATACAAGGAATCTTGCAAGTAAGGCAGATAAGTTGAGGAGACATGATAAGATTTTGACAACAGAGATATTATTGGGTAGGAACAGGACTTGAAGCTCAATCTTCTAGGGTATGGAATCTTCAGTCAAGACAAGGGAGAGTTGTAAGAGATGATGGTATTGCAATGTTGATCAGGAAGTCAATTACGGCAGTAAAGAGGAATGATATCCTAGAAAGTTCCTCAAAAGAGACTATATGGATTGAACTTTAAAAACAAACAGCACAAACACTTTGCTGGGTGTGTACTATAGACTCCCAAACAGGGAGCGATAGGAAGATAGTGATGTAGGCAAATCTCAGAGAAATGTAAAAATGATAATGTTATAATAGTAAGAGATTTCAACTTCCCAAATATTAATTGGGATGGACAAAGTGAGAAAGATTTAGAGAGGATTTATTTCTTGAAATGTATCCTTTTTAATGAGCTTTTTTAAGCCAGCAAGTAGAAAGTCCTACAAGGGACTGGCTGGTGCTCAATCTAATTTTAGGTAACAAAGCTGGGCAAGTGGTAGATGAGGCAGCGGGGAGCATTTTGGCAATAGTGACCATAATTCATTAAAATGTAAGGCAATTATGGTAAAGACAACAATGGACCAATAGTAAAGATTCTGAATTGAGGGAAGGCTGACTTAAATATGATAAGACAGGATCTGGCTAAAATGGACTGCAGGAAGCTGCTTGCAGGAAAATCCATGTCAGACCAGTGGGAGACATTCAAAAAGATAATAGTGTAAGAGCAGGGCCAACATGTTCCCATATAGATGAAGGTTGGGATCAACAACTGCAGAAATTCCTGGATGTCAAGGATCAGATAAAGTAAAAAATGGCAGCTTTTGGCAGCTACTGAACGCTCAAAAACCAGATGCACTAGAGGAGTACAGAAACTGCAGGGTTTACTTAAAAAATAAATTGGGAGAACGCAGAGGCACCATGAAAAAATGCTGGCAGGTGACATTAAGCAAAATCCAAAGGTGTTTTATAAGTATACTGGGGCAAGAGAATAACCAAGGCAAAAGGAAGGTAATTTCAGGACCAAAGTGGCAATCTGTACGTGGATCTAGAAGACATAGCTGAAGGTTTAAATGAGTACTTTTCACCTGTATTCACAATAGAGGAGGATGATGTAGTTTTAGAAATCGGGGATGGGGACTGTGGTATACTTGAACAAATTAGCTTTGAGAAGGAGAAGGTATTAGCGGTTTTAGCAGATCAAAAGTAGATAAATCCCCCAGACCCAGACGAGGTGTAACAAAAACAGAAACTGCTGGGAAAACTCAGGAGGCCTGGCAGCATCTGTGGAGAGAAAGCAGAGTTAGCTTTTTGAGTCCAACGAGCTTACTTCAGAATGATCGGAACAGAGCCCTGCAATCCCCTCCCTTCCCTCTCACTGCAGCCTGGGATACACCACATCTCGCAAAAAAAAACTGTGTATGTTGGAAATCAGAAACAAAAACAGAAATCTGGAGAGATGTCACAGGACTAGAAGACAGTTAATGTTGTACTGTTATTCAAGAAGACTGGTATGGTTAAACCAGTAATTTATCGGCCAATCTGGATTACAAAAAGTCTGAGGGACAGAATTAATCTCCGCTTGGAGAGGCATTGATTAATTAAGCACAGTCAGCAGTGCTTTGTTAGGGGGAGATCACGTCTAAACAAAATTTGAATGTTTTTTTCATAAGATAACCAGGTGGGTAGATGAGGAAATCGATGAAGCTGAAGTGGACTTTGGTAAGGCTTTCGGTAACAGTCGCATGGCAGACCAGTCAAATTGGATTCAAAATTGGCATAGTGACAGGAATTTTAGAGGGGGGTTAAGAAACAAAATTTCTTTTGGGTAAATTTCTGGAACTCACTGCCTAAAAGAGTAGCAAAGGCAGGAACACTTAAGAAGTATAAGCTACGGGTCAAGTACTCGAAAATGGGATCAAAACAGATAGATGCTTAATGACCATTACAGACACAATGGGCTGAATGGTTGTTTTACACACTGTAAAAAACCCTAAGACTCTGTGTGACACTGTCCAATTTAATCTTCCCTCTAATGTGTTACTTATAGTTACTGCTGTTCTGGTCTTTTTGCTATCTTTACTGAATCCAATTTCTAAACCTCTAGACGTTACTTGAGTTACTCTATTTTATGGGACCTCCTTTGATGCTGCAGAAGTAGCACGTATTTCGGCGAACCACAAGTGCGTTATGTTCTTGAGTCCAATTGTCTGTTTGTTCTGTGTATAGATTTAATCATTTTGGTGACAGTAAACAGCATTGTCATACTCCTCTCTTCTCTTGAAACATGTCTCTGATATCCTTCAATCACATTGCTGCTTGGTATTTGGTTCCATTGTAGATTCTGAATAAATCTCACATGTTCACTGTCAATGTCACATTTCAGCAATGCACCTGTCAGTTTTTGCTGATTAACATGATTGAATGCTTACATCAGGTTGCATTGAAAAATTGTCTCTCTCAACTTGTAGCCATTCAAATAATAATCTGCCTGCATACTTTTGCTACCAAAACGTTGAACCTCACATTATCCACATTATACCCTATCTGCCATGCATTGGCTCACTCACTCAGCCTGTCCAAATCACACAGCAATACCTCTCCATCCTCCTCACAGTTCAGTGTTCCATTCAGGTTTGTACCATCTATAAATTTTGAGATATTCCATTTAGTTCCCTCATCTAAATCATTGACATACATTGTGAATAGCTAGCGGTCTAGTACTGACCACTGTGGTACCCCACGAGTCACTGTATGCTATTCAAAAAAAAATCCATTTATTCCTATTCTTTGTTTCCTGTCTGCTAGTCACTTTTTTGACCAACTCAATACATGACCTCCAATCCCATGGACTTTAATTTAAGACAGTAATCATTTATTTGGTACCCTATCTGAAGCCTTTTGAAAATCCAAACAAACCAAATTGACTGACTGCCTGGATTAACTTTATCAGTTACATTCCAAAAGAATTTCAGTAGATTTTTCAAACATGACTTCCCTTTTGTCAATTTATGCTGATTGTATCAGATTCTACATTGTTTTCTAAGTGCTCTGCGATAACATCCTTCATATTGGACTCAAGCGTTTTCTCGCGACTGATGTCAGATTCACTGGTCTATGATTCCCTGTTTTCTCTCTAGCTCCCTTTTTAAACAGTCCATTTATAATAGCTACCCTCCAAACTGCAAAAACTGTTCCTGATTCTAAAGAATCTTGGAAAATGACCATCAATGCACCTAATATTTCCTTAAATCCTTGGGATGTAGATTATCAGACCCGCCTCTTCTCAGCCTTGAGTCACATCAATTTCTCTCACAATTTCTCTGTGAATACATATTTGTTTCAGGTCCTTCCTTTCACTAAACCCTGTCTTCCCTCTCATTTCTGGTGCATTATTTGTGCCCTCCTTTCTGAAGATAGAAACAAAGTCTGAATTTACTTCATCAGTCATTTCTTTATTCACACCCTGTTTGTGACTGTAAGGGACTGACAAAAGTGTTCATCAATCTTTTTCTCCTTACGTGTCCAAAGAAACTTTTACAGTCAGTTGTACATTCCCCACAAGCCCTTGATTGTCCTTTGCTGACTTCTAAACTGTTCCAAACCCTCAGGTCTATTGCTTTCTCTTGCCAATTAGTATGCTTCTCTTTTGCATCTAAGACTCTCTAACTTCTCTCATAAGCCATAGTTTTGCCACTGTTCTCTTTGCACTCTTGCATCAAACAGGAAAAACAATATTTGTAGTTCACCCATTCGTTCTTTGAAGGCTTGCCATTGCATATCGACTGTTATTCCTTTCAATAACCTTTCCCAATCCATTGTAGCTAACTCCTGCCTCAATCCATCGTAGTTTCCCTTATTAAGATTCAGGACCCTACTCTCAGAATCATCCATCTCACTTTCCATCTGAATGGCAGTGGTACAAGAAGACCACACACCACCACCTTCTCAAGGATACTTAGGAGTGGGCAGCAAATCCTGCCTTTGCCACGGGTGCCCAAATCACAGGAAAGAATGATATGAATATACTATGGCTACTTCTGAAATCAGCCCTGCATCCTTCTGGAACATTCTCCAGACATTCACACATGCTTTGCAGAACATTTTACTGTCTGCCTCTTATTTCTGTGATTCCAGTCTACTATAGGTATTCTGCACTCTAATACATTTTTATTTCAGGTTTCAGGTTTGTTTGTTCAAAGGAGTGTAAATAATATCAACCTAACTACCTCCTTGGAGGATTTGATTGCTAATGTATATAGACTCCTTGAGTTGGTGACAAGTTCAATTAAAGGTTGAATTATTTGACATAAAAAATGAAGTATCCTTTCAATCCGGTACCAACACTTGCTGACGTTGAGTTCATTTACTGCCCTGTGCTTATAGCTATTGGAGTGTGTGGTAAGTAATATCTGTCCACATTTGTGTAATTTATTAACTGTTTTTGCTTTGGAAATGATGCATAATCCAGGCAAGAATGGCGCTCAGAACTAAGCCACTAATGCCAAAGGGATTGGACACATCCAAGGATAGTGATGGTGGTGTGTGCAAAATTCTCTGCAATGAAATATCTGGGGACTATTCATGCATGCTTTTAAAATTGATATCACCTCAATTTGTAGAAATTGGGTAAAAGAAAAGGTCTTCTCACAAAACATTTCCTATGAAAAACATCTGTGAATTAGATGGAATTATCGAATATTTGATGTAGCAAATTCAACAGAAGATCTGGTCAAACTCATGTATTAACCTTATCCACCTGGATTTATTTATTTATTGCAGTTAACGTGTTGGCAATTGTGATCCTTTCTCAGAGAGCATGCGGTCTCAGTAAGTGTATCACCCAGTACCTGATAGCAATGGCAACAGCAGATTTCCTCGTTGTCATTGCTGATGTGATGTTGAGGTGGCTTATTTTGTATTTCCCAGTATCTTTCCTGGATATTACTCATGTCTGTAGTTTTGTAATGGTGCTCATTCCTGCAACAACAATACATTCCATCTGGATGACTGTTGCTTTCACCATTGATCGATTTGTGGCTATTTGCTGTCCAAAGCTGAAAACCAAATACTGCACTGAAAAAACTGCATCTGTGATTATTGGAACAGCGAGTGTGTTGAGTTATTTGGAATGCATTCCCTGGTTTTTCAAATTCAAATCCAAATACATCTTCAATAACCTGCAATGGTTTTGTATTACAAAACCAGAGTATTACACTTCAATTTTCTGGGCGGTTTATGAAATATTCCATCGCCTTCTCGCCCCTTTACTGCCATTTGTTATTATTCTTCTTTTGAACACTCTCACCGTCAGACATATTTTAGTCGCAAGCAAAGCGCGCAGGAGACTCCAGAAGGACAGTGACAGGGAGCGGTCCAGTGACCCAGAGATGGACAAACGCAGAAAATCCATTATTTTACTTTTTGCTATCTCAGGCAGCTTCATTATTTTATGGACCCCTTACGTAGTATGCTTCCTATATCAACGAATTTCATTAATGTATGATTATTCTTCACTTTCACCAACTGCAGGTACCATTGGATACATGCTCCAGCTCCTCAGTACTTGTACAAACACTTGTATATACACCGTGACCCAGAGTCAATTCCGAGAGCAGCTGAAAGCTGTTGTGAAGATCCCTTTCACTCTGATTCTCAGATCAATCAAACAGTAAATGTAATAGTTTGCACACACTAGAATTTAATTCCATCTCATAAATCATCTTATATCTGAGCTGAGCATTTCTAAGCCCACAACACAGTGAAGCACAGTTTTCTCCACAGAAGACGCATCACAGAAAATCTTCATTAATTTTCAATTTTCAATGGCTTATCCATTTCCCCTCTGGAAGTTATTTTTTATCAGCCTCCAGCATTCTGACTGTCCACACTGTCACAGACTCATGAGTAAATTGTTTGCTTTATAGTTTCCCTTTACTTCAATTCTTTTCCCCTGATTTTTCTGGCCACTACAATTATGTCAGTATGAAGGTTTTCTTCTCATAGATTATATCATGGTCTTGACTACTTCTTTGGAATTGCTCTTGAATGACTCTGAGAAGAACAGGCCCTATTTCTGCAGTCTCACCACTTAACTGAAGTTCCTCATCCCTAGTATAAGCAGTAAATCCACTCCACAACCTCAAAATGTCCTTTAACTTATCCCCAGAGCAAAAGTGAATACTGCATCCTGGGATATTAAGAGATGTAACCACAGTGGTAGCAGATGTATTGGTAGCACTCTTCCAAGAATCCTTAGATTCATGAGAAGTCCGAGAGGATTGGAAAACTACTAATATGACATCTTTATTTAAAAGGGAAGGTTATAAAAATAGACCTGTAAGTATAGGCTAGGTGTGCTTTGATTTATTCATCTAAAGGTACTCAATTTTTTTTGCACCAATTTGATTCTTATGTTCAATACCTGCAAACATCTTGCAAGTGAATACTCAGGTGTCTTCTCCATTTCCCTCAGTCTCTGTAGTCTGCATGCCTTTAAAAGTAGTACCACTTTACGTATATGTTGCTATTCTCTCATGGCAGCAAGGTTTTGGACAGTAATATCAATGACCAGCCACAATCTGATTTGATTTGATTTATTATTGCCACATGTGCTGAGACAGAGTGAAAAGTATGGTTTTGCTGCTAAACTGGCAAATCATGCTATACATAAGTACATCGTGGTAGAACAGATTGCAGAATATAGTGTTACAGGTGCAGACAAGGTACAGAGAACAATCAACTCTAACATGTGAGAGGTCTGCTCATAAGTCTGATTACAGCAAGGAAGAAGCTGTTCTAAATTCGTTCTAAATCTGTTCTAAATCTTGCGATGCATTCGGACAGTATGCTTTCTAATCAAATGATGGGACAGACTCAATGAAGGAAACAGTTTCCTCCCATTCTGATCTTCTGATCTCTCTCCACTGAGACAGGCCATCCTGTTTTTTAGACCATTAATGGGAAACCATGAACCTGAGACAATCACGCTGTTTACTAGCTGATGGTGTTACAATTGGTCTCATCACTTATTCTGTTGATCCAACAGTGCTAATTTGTTACAGTCTATCGAAATGTTTACAGGTAGTTCTGCTATAATGCATGCTTTATTAACACAAGAGATAACAAGGTGTAGAGCTGGATGAACACATCAGGCCAAGCAGCATCAGAGGAGCAGGAAAGCTGACGTTTCAGGTCTAGACCATTCTTCAGAAAGAAGCTCCTCTGATGCTGCTTGGCCTGCTGTGTTCATCCAGCTCTACACCTTGTTATCTCAGATTCTCCAGCATCTGCAGTTCCTACTATCGCTTCATTAACACAAATAGACTGTAACACGACTGATGAATAGTGGATGCTGTTTCGATAACACAAACTTTCTGCTGTGCAGGCAGAGCAATTTTCTACAGCGATTTCCTGATTTTGCAATTTTCTATGGTGATTTTCAATTGTGTGAGGTCACACAAGAACGCAACTATCATGTTATAGGAGAACTACCTGTACACCTCATTCAGATTATGTTGCAAAGTCACAGGATGCAACCTTGTTTCTCTTATTGATCCAAATGTCAGACAGTCTACCTGACTCTTTAAATCGCAAACCTCACTGCTGTTACTCTGAGGCAGATTAGCCCACTGATTATACGATTGAAACACCACTGTTACACTGAGAATAATGCCCTAACCTGTTTGCACCACGCAGATGGAGTCCAGTGAAACAGTCTAGCCCACTGCTATGGCCATTCATTTCTCAGTGCTACATAAAATTTGTTTAGAGATAGTAGGAACTGCAGATGCTGGAGAATCCGAGACAACAAGGTGCAGGGCTGGATGAACACAGCAGGCCAAGCAGCATCATAGGAGCAGAAAGGCTGA